AAACTAATGCTCAACAACACCGAAATCCCACTTTCTAAATCTCTCAAATATCTTGGCGTTATCATCGATTCTAGACTAAACTTTGCTGAGCACATTAACCAAATAATCACCAAAGGAAGCCAAACAGCCGGCATCCTTTACCCTCTCTTAAACCAGAAAAGCAAGCTCACTCTGAAAAACAAAACTCTGCTCTACAAGCAAGTAATCAGGTCGCAAATATGCTATGCTGCCCCCATCATTAGCCAAACCTCCAAAATAACCATACGCAAACTCCAAATCTTCCAAAACAAAATCCTCCGCAGAATGACAAGACCCCCCTGGTACGTCCGTAACTCACAAATTCACGCGAACCTTCAAATCGAAACCGTGCAACAGTTCGTCTCAAAGCTCCATGAAAACTTCAAAACTCGCCTCCTAAACCACCCAAACCCACTAATCAAAGACACGTTTACTCAAACTATCCCAAACCAACAATACGAAACCCCGACAAGTTTAATGGCAGACCCCCCTGGAATCACCCGCCTTAAGCAGTTGATTCCCGACATCTCAAACCTCCTGGAAAGTAACCAAACTCTCAAACTCTTCCAAATTTAACTCTCAGGCCGACCGCCACAAACCACTACTTTTCGCGCTCCGTACCCCTACTTTTTTCTTTCTTCGTTCACTTCTCAGCACACCTGAAACATTTGAAGTTCCGGTTGCAGTTTGTCGACACATGCCCCCATCTTTGACAACGGCGACATTGCGTAAGGGTTTTCCGATTGTTTCGTGTTTCCCACGAAACCCTTACGTCGCAAACGACCTTCACTTCCGCATTGAGTTTGCGGAACCTTTTCGTCTGTTACCACCAAAAACAAGGGCCTGAATTTTGTTTTCATGCTAAACACGTTCTCGGTGTTAACAGATCTTTGGATTAAATCCTTTTTAATGTCCTCTGGGTGTACTTTACCCTCCAATCCCCTTAGGACAAAGGCGTGTGTCTTCTCGAGCTCTCAAGCTTAATTGAGAAGGTTTAATCATAAAGGAATCAAAGGGTATATGAAGGAAAAAAAATTTGATGCGTGGTAAACACAATTAATCATTGAAAATAAGCCCTAATAAATTCGTTTTACATGTTTTGTAACTATAAGCTGAAGAGAGATTCGTATCGTCTTAAAATCAAGAATGCGTTGCGTGATAGAAAATAAGAAGACGGAACCATGTTTTCTGAAATAACAGAGGTTAACTCAAATATTTTTTCAATTAAATTCAAAACATATTTATTATACATATATTATTACAAAACACTAATGATGTTTATCATTTTATGTTAAATATGAAAAATTATAATACATATCTAAATATTTATTATTTGTTGTTACAAAATAATATAACAAATAATAGAACATATTATTGCATTAAAAGTGATTAATAATAGTTGTGACACTTTATTTGCACTTAATCTTGAGCGTTTTTCATAAATTGACCCTACCTTCTTTAAAAAATATCCGCTCAACATCTGGTTTAACAATTGTCTCCGATGAAAATCACTAAACAACTAGGTAGTAATATTTTAGGCGAACAGAACTTTTAATCGTGCAATACAATGCAAATGGACATCATCTGGGCAGCATCTGGACTACAGACGGACAGTAAGACATAGGGAATCGATACCGGGATTCTATCGATACGATTTAATTTAATTTAATCTTTTCTTGATGCGAATTTGCGTCCACAATCAATCAGGCGATTTAAAATAGGTCCAACAGTTTTTTAAAAACTTTATTGTAGTGGATCTTAGGCACAATTTTGTTGCACAACATCGATTGTTAGTTCTTAAAACACTATTTAACAGTACACGGCAATGTACAATCTCATTTTCAATAATAAATACCCGGTCGTTTGAAAGATGATTTTCAACAGTTTGTAATATATTTTTCTGCAAATTGATGGACGATCCTCATTTTTTTGCACTTAAACTGCTTTAGTGTGTATAATTGTGTGTGTACTTTAATTGGAAATTTAAAAGAAGGCGAAACTCGAACAGGCATTTAGTACATGAGCACCCTTAACCTAGTATTTGCGGTATCTGCAGCTTCTCCCTTGGTAATTTGTTGATTCATTGTTATCAGCGTTATAAAATAAACTGCACCGAACACAATATCATGCTCGCCGTGATCGCGAAAAATCGGTTGACTCTCCCATAAAAAGTTATCACTTCAAAAATGTTTGCAAAAACTTAAGTCTAAGTTAAAGTTTGCAAATTGTGCTTCACGCACGGATGCCAGCGGATTTGACCGGAATAAGCAACGACCCAGCAAACACACCTCGGTCCCTGAGACGTCCCACGGAAGTCATTACAGGATATAGGCCTAAGTCCCTCGCACGTCCCGGTACGTCCCCATATGTACGTGAGACGCGAGAAAATCTACAATTGTGGCATATACCAGGAACAAGCTCTTCTTGGTATATCTTTGTAAAATTGGGTTCTACAATAGTCGAACAACGTTCTACTCGGTATAAATTGCGGTATAACTAATACGAGTGAAATCAGCCGGATATACTGCAGATAAAGTTGTTCCTTCGTTCTATTGGTCAATGAGTGACAGTGCCTTATTGCTTGGTCTGATTTCATAACCTACAATTTCTCCATGTGTAAACAACTTTGTCATGCGATTTTAAGAAATGTTGATTTATTACGATGGCGGGAAGAAATATTTCTGTAGTTGATTCTGATGAAGAAGACAAGTAAGTAACACCTCGGAGACCTAAATTTTTACCTAATCAGTAAGTGAATACTAGGACTATATCTATAGGATAATATTGATAAAAATTGTATTTGTTTCAGACCGAATTACTTTATAGAATACACCGATCTGGAGTTTTTTACTCGGCTTCGAATGAATCTGAATGATCTCAAATGTCAGACGGAACGAAATCGAGCTACTTCACCAGCAACTAAATTATTGCTCACTTTAAGATTTTATGCCACTGGAAATATGCTCATATCAGTTGGAGATTTGTAGGAGTAAGCAAAACATTTGCCTGTTCAATTGTGAGACAAGTTTCAGAGGCTATTGCTCGGTTGCGTCCGAATATAAGATTTTCCGAAAATATTGTCACCAGACAAATAGTAAAAGAAAATTTTTATAGAGTTGCCAGATTTCCACTGGTCATTGGTGCGATTGACTGCACGCATGTGAAAATCCAGTTTCCTGGACGAGAAGACGCTGAGCGGTTCCCTAATAGGAAAGGGTACTTTTCGTGGAATGTTCAGACAATTTTCTATCTTTCAGGCGGCCTATTTCCCTTGAATTCTGGTTCAGATCTGTAATCATTTTTTCCGGGTGCTCAGTCGATAATCTTTTCCAGTGTGTTTGTGTATCTATGGTCGACACGGGCTAGCTCTAGCTCGCTTAGAATTACCCAATGTTCCATGGAATCGAAGGTCTCCTCGTAATCTATAAAGGCCGTGTATAATGGCATGTTGTATTCTGTCATTGTCCCATTTCGAATTTTGAAAGTCAAGAGATGATGGCATGTGCTAAAGCCCTTTCTAAATGCTACCTGTTCTACAATTTGATAATCTACAATCGATAATAATCGATAATCGAGTTTGTTACTGATTCTGTTAACGATGATTCTCGTGAATAATTCATAGATGTGTGAAAACAAACAAATTGGTCTGTAATTCGGAAGAAGTGTCGTGTGAACTTTCTTGTAGAGTAGGATAATTATGGATGTTGAAAAATGTCTTTAACTTGAGACTGTGGCACCACAGAGTATTGCTAAACCATTTTATTTTCAATAATTGGGAAGCAAGCAAAGCGAAAGTGGAAATTCACATAAGAGCACATCACGGATAAGCGTCGAACGGGGTGGAGCGGAGACGTCTTTCGGTGCGCGTTGTGTGCGTTTAAACTTTGATTGCTGACAAATTCGTTGTGGCTAGGCGGCAAATAAGGACAAAATGACATTTTTGACATTTGCATAAGCTTTATTTGTTCGTCATTAATCAATTTTGCCAAATAAAGAAAATGTGCAACGACCCTATTCAAGACAAACCCTAGAAGAACTTAAGAATAAGTACAGCAGAAATTGCGTACTGCTTATGATTCACAACTGATTCTAAAGTTATTTCAAAGTTAAAATCTTAAATTTCTTAGCATTATATTAAGAAACACCCTGTATGGTTTCACGGTCATTCCCGTTTTGTTTGATATATCATTTTTCTATTCGAATAAGTTTTGAATACTTTCTGCAAGTAAACAGGCAAGTAAAGTGATGGACTGGTAAACGAACCAATTCGAATGAGTACTTGAATATATTTATTGTAGATGACATTCCTCTTACAACAATACATATGAATAGGTTCTCTCAAATCAATCTGTTACTGAATGTTTATCAATTATTAATTAGTAGAATAGCGTTTTTAACAAGCTGTTAGTTGACACCACGGGCAATATTTATAAATACATTACAGACATTTCTTTTCCAATCAACAAATTTGCTGTTCACATTTACATTGCAGGTTATTTTCCAGTTACTGTTGGCTCCTGGTCCATCGTTTGAATTCTGCCAAACAGATATGTTTCGACTGCAGCGATCATATTTATTTTGGTCACTTACATCATATACATACTCTTTTCTAGTGTTTTTTATTCTAAACCTTTCAAAACCATCTACATTAATAGGCTCAATTTGCCATTTTTCGCCCATATTTATATCGGATACATAGACGTTGTTACTCTTATATTTTAGGCTTAAATAATACATAGTCGGATGGTAATAGTCACTTATGATATTAAAATAAACCGCATCATCTACAGGTATAAATTTCCAAAATCCCTCGATATGAGGCCATCCCTCACACATTGTGAACACAAATCGATCTGAATCTAAACTTTTATGAAACTCTGGATTTGCAAAGGACATAAATTCAAAATAAGTAGAACTTTGTATAGTACATGTTTGATTTTCATGCATGAACTGCCATACATAAGCTGGAAAACTACTTTTTAATTTTTGAAGCTGGCTAATGAGCGGTTTAGATACATTAGCATCAGCACTTGACATCGCTTTTGTAACTTCGTAAGCAAACCGAATTATTTCAGAATTGTAGATCTGTTTATTTTTAACCATTTCATCTAGGAGGGTTTTATACGCTGCACAGCGATGCTGTAGCAATGGAAGTTTACGTACAAAATTAAATACGATGTTAAAATTACTTATGTCATTTGTGTACACACTTTTCACAATCTGAGGTAAATAGCTACTAACAATACATACTTGAGGCAACTTTGCGAAGTCTATTATACTTTGATAGTCATTGTTGCGAATCTTCCATGTCCATAAATCAAGCACATTATTAACGGATACCTTCGCCTTACTCTTTAAACCACTTAATCTGGGAACAAATGCTGGTTCCTCATCAATCATATATGAGTTATTTAGCATTTTTTCAATTTGTGTGAGAAAAACGAAGATTTTAGAAGTATGTTTCTCCATCATGTTATACAGTACCTCATAGCTTATGACCTTATCTGAAAACCAAGGTAACTGTGCTATGAAATGTATTATATTATCAAAATTATTTAGCTGCCCATGCTTAGCATATGCTATATCTATAATATTATGCAATAGATTAACATTTCCAAATTCGTTTAATAGTTTAAATTTACTTACAGCTGTTTCAGTCTCCCCGCTAGCTATTTCAATAATGCACATATTTTTCATATTTTTTCGAAATTGAGTACTAGTATTATTAAGAGGCTGTGCTTAATTTGTGAAACTCTGTATTTAACCTTCTTAACTTTTGGCGATTTTCTTCTGAAAATTGTGATTCCAATTGATCATTAACTTTTTGAATTTGTACAGATAAATAATTATAAGCATTGTTTAACTGAATGTATTCTTCTGTTGAAATATTATTTTGAACCGATTGATTAAATAAGTTTTCTAAATGAGTAACGCCGCACATTATTAAAGTTAATAGGTTACCACAATTGTCCGCATTAACAGCATTTAGTGTACAATTACTATCTCCTGATGGCACTTTTGACAAAACAATATCTACCATATTTTCCAGTTCAGTTACTTCATCTTTAGCTGCAGAACATTCTTGACTTTGACTAAACGGAACAGAAGATCTGATTGCCCGAGAATTAGAATTCACTCCTAATGATTCGCTATTCTCGTCTGCTCTAAACGTACTTATTAGCTGAAGCAAATTATCATTTATTTTAATGCGTTGTTTATTCTGTTCGTATTGGTCAAAATCTGAACCCATAGGCATCATATTTATTCTAAATAAGTTTTTGAAGTTGAATGTTCTGTTACCAAACGGTTGGTTTTTGCTCGGTTGTAGATCTGTGAAACTAAACCGACGTACGAACACGGTTTCTGGTTGCATGTTTTCGGTCGTCATATTAGCTGCTGAAGATTTAACAACTAATGTTACAATAATTATTGCAGTAGCACGTTTCCATAACAGTATTCCCATGAAACGTATGAATTGCATCATTGCAAAACTTTCTTCCTCTCTTCCATTGGATGTTGTTGTTAAAATAGCCCTTTTCATTGTTCGATATATAGGTAAAAGTGAGTGAGTATCATACCCAATTAAAACTATTTCAAATCTCATTGTCTCATCTATCTCATATCATATGTCTCATCTCATCTATTGATCAATCAATTTTCGAGTAATTAAGTTTTCTATAATCTACTTTTGGCTGAGTCGACAAATTTGTTGTGATCAACAAACAATACTGTTTTCATTTATCGCTTGGTATTAGTTCGTCTGTTTCCTTTGACGAATTTTCTGAATCTTCTGTAATGTCGAGTTTCGCTTCTTTGCTACAATATGAAATTTAGTTTAATCACTCTTTCTACCTATCATGTAACATTTCTAAGTATTTCTTAGCACAATGCTAAATCGATCACTATTACCACGATGTATGTTAATGGTGGATTTTGGACAGCATTGAGATATGAGATCGTATGTAAACAGGGTGATTTAAAATGGGCCGTCATTCCTCTGGAGGTGTTGCCTGGGGGTGTTTTGGGAGTACAAGAAAAATACTAAAAATAATTAACTAAGTTATTAGAAACTGAGATATTTGCAAAAAACTAGATCAGAATGGTGGCAACAATGTTTTTTAAGGTAAACTACTCATTAACACGACGTGAATACATGCTGCTTCTTAATTATTATTAT